GCCATCTGAGAAAAAAATTAAATAGAAAGGGGGGTCTTGTGACACATCATTTTGAAGCTCTTGACGAATACTTCGCAACCCTAGAATATGAAGTCAATATCTTCACCTACTACAAAATAGCGGAGCTTTAAATAATTGCCTGAATACATTGACATTTAACTACATAATATGATATAATAAGCTTGACATTATACAGTAACGTCAATATATCTACAAATATTTATTATTCTCTGCCGAATATCTAATATTGAAGCAGGTTAAGTTTCGTACACCTTTTGCTTCAAATAGCCCCATAAAAAAAACCAAAGGTATAGAATCTGGCGAGCGAGCTGACCATTCTGTACGACCTTGACGGCCAATCCAATGATCGGGAAAAGTAATATCCAAATAGTTTTTTACTTGTCTGGACTAATGTGGGGGTATTCCATCTTGTTGGAATACAATATCCATATCGATTTAATTAGGATACGCTTCGACGATTTCAGTGATGAAAGCGTCAACAGTAGTTTCCAGCATATTCAAATACAGTTTTCCTGTTGAATTTTCATCAATAAATAGAGGTCCTACAATATGGTTTCCCAATATTGATAGATTGTAGACGTGGTACCTTTCTACTAGTAAAACCAAAAACTGAATGAAAATATTTCAACTGAACAATGATGTTCATTACCAAAAATAACTTAACAAACCTTATCGGGTTGTTGGAATTGCCATATGGCAGATAAAAAGGAATATTTCTAGAAATATCGATATTAATGTGTTTGTCTTCAGGAAATTATTAAATGTTCCGCCATTTTGTAGTAGGTGAAGATATTGTCTTCGTATTCTAGGGTTGTGAAGTATTCGTTAGAAGCTTCAGAATGATGTGTCACAAGTTTCATCTGTCAATTTCACTTCAAAATACAATTTCATTATCCCAAAATTTCAATTTTTTGATTTGACCCGTTCAAAAAATAAAAGGGGGGGGCGACATTGAAGAAATGCACTGTATATTCTAAGGAGGCAGATTTCCAGCCGTGATGTTCAATGGATGTAATGTTGCCCCTGCGTTGGCCAGAAGAGTTACAGATTTTCTTCTAAAATAGTGACCTGTGTAGCTCTTATACAATAAAAGGGGGGGCGACATTAAAGAAATGCACTGTATAGAGGATAGTTTGAATAAGAAAATTGAGATATTGAGCTGTCCATCTTCTTCCAAACAAATTAAAATATCTGATGAAATTGTGGAATAAATAACTAATTTCTAATTTGACTTCAGCTAGTTCAGAAAATATGCTATAAGTCTAAAATCCCAGATCTCTTGTATAAACTAATTTAATATCATATGTGAGCGGTATCCTTGTTAGTAGTGCATGTCAGGCGAGATCATTTTCCAGGCATGTCTTCAACAGTAATCTAGCCTCAATTAGAAAATTGCCGTGTTTACCAGAACGTCAATCCAGATTCATTTCAATTTTCGTGCGGTATCTATCATCTCATGTCTCTGCGAATTAGGCCTGTAATGTATGTTGACGAAGATTGTATTTTGTATTCAAAAACACTTTATTTTCGAGATATTCATTAGACACTTTTAAAAAAACGCAACGCCTGTTTCGCTATACAATAGCTTCCTCAGGCATGTATATACTCTATTGTATAGCATGTATAGCGTACTCCATAGCAGACGTGTCTACACTCCATGCTCTACAGTATGGCTATTGCATAGAGAAACACAATAAACTGTTTCTTGAATACGTTATGGATTTTCATCAAGTATAAGCCGATTCCATCACATATTGTTATTCCAATACGGACAAAAATTGCCATCAAAAGAGTTGGTACTTGTGATGCACCGTTTGGAACCTTTCGCGCAGTAACTAATATTACTGGACTTTTTTCCCAACACCAAACCGTTATTTCAACACCTTGAGACCTGTTTCGATCACCAAGGGATTATCTTCAATAGAAATACCTTGATATCCTTGATAATGCTAACTTGGTTAGGACTCGTTCAATGTCCTGTATATGTATGTGTGTTTTTTCTTCAACCAGTTGTCGCTTTCTTATGAATGACAACCCTCAGAAGTCATAACTTGTACGAGTTAAGGACCAACGAGTTCTTACATTTAAAGGTGTGGTTTCTAGCATGGATCAGACGATACTTAGTGAATATCGAAAATTGGAATCAAACCGACGTTCACATAGCCGTTGATCAAATGAGTACCACTATTTACGCTAACCAACCGGCTATCTTCCAGTTAATGAGAGTGTTTGTGTGTAACTTTCAAATATAATTTTATCAATAAAATAACATATGAGCAATCAGCTTGTTTTCGAATTTAAAAAAATGAAAAGGAAACATATTCAATGTATCGATGTATAGGGTATTTCATTGTTTCCTATCTTTAAATTTGAATAAAACAAAGTGTGTGTGAGATATCAATGAAATCTTTTATTCGTTTTGATACTGCTCCAGAGCCCATTCAGTGACCACAAGTCATTGTGCATGGTCGTTAAACGTCAGTTCCTGGGTCAGTTGAAATTTGTACGGAAGCAGGCCCAGGTCACGACGCAAAATTCGCCTAGTTGTGGTCTGCGAAAGTCTCAGTTGGAAGACTCTATATTTAAAACTATATTGAATAGGTTTTCTTTACAATTTTTGAATGAAAGGAAATTGCAATTTTACTTTATTTCTATGAAAAAAAAAGAATGATAATGTTAAATGAGAATGTATAACAATATTCATGTAATCTTAATGGAAGAGAAATGATACATTTTCCGGTGTATTATTTTATTCATCTTTGAGGAATTATATAGTTCACTTGTTCTGATGAATTTTTAATACGTGCAGGAGAAATGATTGGGCAGATTCTAATATGTTTTGCTAATAAAATATTTTTCATAATCTCAAACCCTCTAACTAAAGAATATATCACCCATGAACGAAAAATCAAATTTTCACGCAGTTTGCCCTAAGCATTCACCAGTTGTTAAGCACTTTGTGACAAAGTTACAACACATCCTTGGCTAAAAGAAACTTTCGTTTTTCTATTTCCTTTGGTAAAGTTCAATTTTCCATTTTCAAATAATTTTTCACTTGGGTCTTCAAGAAACTGGCCTAAGTACAATAAGTCACAACAACGGATATCTCTCATTACATCCTATTGAATTTAGTACGTGAAAATGCAATGTCAGAAGTATATCTCGTCAGCTACAATCCGTGTCGAATTCCGAAATGAAGTTGAGGATTTTGTGCTGTGTTTTGTTGGTTCTCACTCAGTTACACCACGGTGAGTGCAAGAGAGGTGGTTCAAGAGGGAGCAGAGGAAAGTCTTCTTCATCAGGTAAGAATCGCATTTCAATATAACATCTAGGTGGAATTTTATTTATTATTACATGACAATGTGATTTTCATGGATGATGCATATCGGTAATTCTAACAACAGGCGCACTCAGTGTTGGACTTGATAATATCACCGGGTAGTCTTTTTTTTTGGAATGATGTAACGATACCTAGATCGTTGGCTACTTCATTTTCCAAATGTTCAACAGGGTTCATATCGGGGTACATAGGTGGCCAAATCCTGCCATTGTTATTCTAACATAATTTAGGCATTCACGTATCATTTCCAGGAGTTACAAAGAGTCAACAAGACAAAAAAGAATATAAGCAACCATGTTCGAAAGTCTGAATAACGAAAATAGAAACTAAAAAATGATTGCGAATTGTGGGTGTACCATGAATCACTTATACAAATTATTGATGTTCCATCTTTTACCATTCTGGTACGGCAACAGTTAATCAACAGTTTTGGCAAGCCTTGCCAAAAGGCTTAATTTTCTCAAGGAATTATTTTACTAGAACGTTATGATCCAATAATCCGTACACCACATCCAATTGGATGTCTTTCGTCTTTCTTAGCATCACCTTGTGTCAGGAACTTCTATACCCATCACGCGACTGCGGTAGACTAAGGTGTTGAAGACACTATCGTGGCATGCCATGATGAACTCCTCAGTTTCCGACTTCGGCCCACTCGACCTGAGGAAATCGAAAGTCAGGCGCTTTGATAAGCCAACGTCTTCAATGTACATAATTGAAGAAGACCCTATGCATTGGCTCATCCTTAGGTTGCCGCAGAAGTGAGGTAATCTCTGCGACTTTCATATGAGCCTTTTGCTGAACGGGTTCCAACTCGATGACAGAGTTGTGATCACCTCATTCAGTGTCGAAAACTAAACCGAGTTCATCAGCTGCTCGGGCAGCTGAAAAGTGGAATCCAGAAAGTTATTTTCTCAATAAAATTTTATACCTAATGTTGGATATTATAAATTGAGTGAAAAAGTAATGAATAATTGAAGTGTACGGTACAATATACAGAGTTTTTCATGGAAAACTATTAGTATCAGTATTTATACAACCAACCGGGATATTATTAATTTCTCAAACGGTGTCGCATTTATTTCATCTATCACTGATCACTATTTTATGAAAATGTATATTTCTTATTTTGTTCGCATTATATCAATTACTTTAGTACCATATGGAACCATTGATGGACAATGTTGCTAAGTTGGTAGCACAGGGTCTTTCACGACGAGCGTTCGTTAGAAATATATTGAGAAGGATTCAAAATGAAAACTTGACGGCAAGAGTTAATCATAAAAGTCCTTGCCAAAAGGCTTAATTTTCTCAAGGAATTATTTTACTAGAACATTATGATCCAATAATCCGTACACCACATCCACTTGGATTTCTTTCGTCTTTCTTAGCGTCACCTTGTGTCAGGAACTTCTATACCCATCACGCGATTGAGGTAGACTGAGGTGTTGAAGACACTATCGTGGCAAGCCATGATGAACCCCTCAGTTTCCGACTTCGGCTCACTCGACCTGAGGAAATCGAAAGTCAGGCGCTTTGATAAGCCAAGGTCTTCAATGTACATAATNGGTTGAACTCCAGTTTAGCCAATATAAGAATTTGGACAAGAACCACAAGTCAAACCATATACTCCTGATTCATCTAAAATGTTCACTGAAAATTCCACCATGAAGTGTTGCATGAATTCGTTATATATATATATGGTTATTTATTGCTTCGAATGATTTACATTTCAAATATTTCCCAAAATCGGATATATCTTGCCAGGGCTGTATTTTAGGTATAGGACATTCTTCATGAATTCGATATTTTTTTTTGTAGTATCCAAAAATAATAGAATAGTGTATGGTATCCATTTGAAAGAATCGTATTTCATCAGTTTTCTCGATGTTATGTTTTAGGTGGAAGTTTCGACCACCCTGTAAATCATTTTCGAAAATTCGATGGACCTGTTCATGACTTGATGCTTAAGGTGTGATTCTGTGAAGTTTCACATTTCAACTATTACTGTCTATGAGTTATGATTTTTTTCGGAGTGGTGCTGTGCTGTAACTGTCAAATTTTTTAGAAAAAAAATTATATCTCGAAAACTAACAGATTTGGGTATAGGCATTGTTATACAAAGTGGGCCTAAAATGTGCTGAGAAATTCAAAAATGTAATAAAATACAGGGTGATCCATTTGAAATAAGGAAGTTGCCCTCAACCTCCGGTATAATGGAGAGAGACCGGAAGTTGAAAATATTTTAGTTGAGAAGGCCATTTTGTAAAACGCACTACCACAAAATATCAACTTTTCATTTTGAATCGTCCTCCATATATTCCTAACGAACGCTCGCCGTGAAAGACCCTGTATAGGTTACGGGACTTCTCTTATAAGATAATTGTTTATGCAGGTTCATATGGAATGAGAAAGAAATCTGGATTCTTCAGTGGAAGTACATTCAGAAACGTCCTGACTGGCATGTTTATATGGCATATGACTTCCAGTTTAGTTGGAGGGATGTTCAAAAGACCTTACAACGTGTACAACTATTATAATCAACCGCCAATGAAAGAAGAAATACAATTACCTGCGAATGTGCTGACAATGTGTGAAGGAAATGTTACGCAGTTGTGTACAGGTAAATATGGTATCTATAGTTACAGCTGCGAGATTTTGATTTAACAAATTGTAATTTGAATTATTTTTGAAATTCAATCAACACATTTTCCACTCTGTGAAACCCAGAAAATTTTTGAGAGACTTGTGCATACTGCAGACAGGTGTGGGTTTTTTTAACGTTCAAACTGAAGTACAAAAATCCAACCGAATTGTTGGTGAGCCATTTTTGCTCGACTATCGTATAACCCAAACGATCTGTTATAATGTTTTCATACATTGAGTTGCATTTAAAATGAACCACCCTGAATTCAGACGGTAAAAATCGTGAAAGTCGTTAACAGTAGTTTTCAGGGAGACATATTTCTATGTAAAAAATCTCTCTCTCTCTCTCTCGATTGTGTATCCAATCCTGTAACATTTTTGACATTACTATGATAAATAGTTAGCTGCGTCTCGAAGACTTTTGATTTCAACCATCCCTGTAGAACAAATAGCACGACACTAGCCCTTTCGATGCTTTGGTAGTCTAAAAATTGGAAAATGAGGCCTGGTATGAAGGTCAACTCCCAAAAAGGCAAACAAAACAAGGAGATGCAAGAAGGAATCTGAAGAATTGGAAATATTCAATGAAATTAAATAAATATAGGGATTGTGAATTACTGGAAAATAAAAAAGTAATTGTTAAAAAGAGTGGTGTAGGTATACCTTATCAGTGCTAAGTATATCGACACTAATGATGATGCACAAATCACGAATTGAAGGTGAAAGAATAAGTTTCCTGAGGGTACCACCACTGAGGCCACCCCTGGTCAACGTCAATCCACTGTGACTTGGCCAAGGTCGCTCTCAACTCTACTTGTGTTTCTAAATCGTTCTAGGTGTCGCATCGCTTCGATAATAATTATATCAGCTTCCTAAGACTTTCATTGGCATTCATGAACACTAAGCAACACGCATATCGCCTGAAGTCTAGTTGACAGTGCCGTACGAAGTGATTTAATAAGGTGGTAGACATTTGAATACTAGATTGCAGTTCCAGTTGATGTGGTTATATTGTTAGTGTAGCAGTGAAATTAAGGCAAGTTTAATTTTACAGTGTAGTCAATGTAATCTCCAACAAGAGCCACACAATCATTCCAGCGCCGCTTTAACATTTCAATACTACTTTTGTAGAACGATTTATCTTTTGCCTCAAAATAAGCCTCAGTTTCAGCAATAGCCTCTTCATTCGAGCGAAATTTCTTGCCGGTGGGCATTTTTTGAGGTCTGCGACAGCCAGTAGTCGCTGCATGGGAGCCAAATCTGGCGAATATGGTGTATGCGGATGCAATTCGAAGCCCATTTCATGCAATTTTGCCATAATTTTCATCGATTTGTGACACTGCGCATTGTCTTGATGGAGCAGAACTTTCTTTTTCTTCAGATGGGGTCGTTTTTCCGCAATTTCAGGCTGCAAACGCTCCAATAATGTTATATTTTGTCCACTGTTGATGGTATTTCCCCTCTCCAGATAGTCGATGAATATTACACCACGCACATCCCAAAATACCGAGGTCATAACCTTTTCAGCCGAGTGTTGTGCTTTCGGGCGCTTTGGACGAAGTTCACCAGTTACTCTCCACTCAAATGACGATCGTTTTGATTCCGGAGTGAAGTGATGGATCCATATTTCAGACTCACATATCGACGCAAAAATTTCGGTTTGTTGTGTTTAAATATGGCCAAACACTGTACAGAATCATCAAGACGTTCTTGTTTTTGGTCAACAGTGAGCCACTTTGAACGGACCTTTCTCATTGTCAAATATAATGCAATATAAAGCAACACGTTCAGCTAACTCACGCAGCTTCACTTTTTGATCATTCAAAACTATTTTGTGGATTTTTTTTATGTTTTCTGGTGTTACTGCCTTATTTGGACGTCCACTGCGTTCTGCATCAAGCCATTGCTTCGGTTGAACAATGAGAATTATACTAGTGCGATGTTTTTATCGTCTATAAAAAAGTAGACCCTGTATTACATAGCATTTTTTGTTATGAATACCGATTTACGGTAAAATATAATTCGAAGTTACTGAAATCATCAAAAACTATTTTTATTGAATTCATAATTAAATTATTTTACTGACATACTAGTACATCGCGCTTTTTTGGTGCATCTTATTTTATTTTCATTAGTTCGGACTTCCATTGTCTAATATGATATAAATTAATTTGGAATCCCTGAAAAAAATCTGTAACAAATAAAAAGATTGGCTGGAAAATAACAATTACATCAGGCAAAAAAATTAAATAAAATACAAGCAGCAACCAAAAAATAAAAAAAATTGAAATATTAACATGAGATGGAAATTAAAAAATATTAACAAGAAATGAAAACTAAAAATTAAAAGATTTCAAGCCAAGTTACTTCACGACGTTTCGATTGTTAGTATCCACAATCGTCTTCGGGTGATAACTGAACTATTCCTCTGAGATCTGACAATTTATAGGTCATTCGAGTTCTTTCACCGGTTAGCGGGAGCTGACCGTTTGGCGGAAGTTGGTCGTGTTCCGTTTGATGAGAGGTTTCCATATGTTGCGTATCTCTACGCTAGCTTGGCTAAATGCGTTGTTGGACAAAATATATGCGGCTTCTTTGAATTTTCTCCTAAACCAGTGTTCCTTCTTGTGGATTTCAGCTCGAGACCACTTGATGTTATGTTGATCTGTCTAAAAAAATCTGATGAGTACCAAACATTCTCTGCTATTCCTGATTTGCTGGTTTCTCCTCGTTATGTGTGTTTCTTGTGCTCGGCAATGCGAACTTTCAATGGCCTCTTAGTTTCACCGATGAATGATTATCCGCACTCGCAGGGTATCCGGTACATGCAATTATTGGAATCTCAGTCCGCGTTTGGTGGCCTGGTTTTCGTGAGGCTGCTACGGATAGTGTTCCCAGATCTGAAGCAGGTTCTGATGTTATACTTGGACCCAATTCTTCTTATCCTTTTCGACAATCTTCTGGTGTAGGGAAGTACAAGTACTGGTTGTGTACGCTTCTCTTCCTAAAGAGAGCTAAAGTCTGTTCCACAATCACTTTGGAGTAACCATTCCGTTGAAGGTCATTTTTGATGATGCCTAGTTCCTTTTTGAGACCTTTCTTTGTATAACAGAGCCCGAAAGCACGGTCTGCTAGAGTCTTGATGGTTCCTCTCTTAGTCGATTGATGGTGGTTGAATTCCTGGTTCAGATACTGACCCGTGTGAGTGTATTTTCGGTATACAAATTTTTCCCATTTACTGTCGGTCCTCTTCACCAATACGTCTAAGAACACTAATTCGTTGTGGACTTCCTTCTCCATTGTGAAAGTTATGGAAGGACTTACGTTGTTGATGTGCTTCAGGAATTCTCTCGAAGATTTCAAATCAATTCATATATTAGAAAATGGAAATCCAAACCATCTTCAAACAAATCTTATTTTCTTGTTGATTTTATTATATAACTCTTATTATTAACTCTTCAATGACAATAATTTACTTCTGTGCAGGTTCAACGGCAATATGCACTACCAACAGCACAGTACTCTGTGTCGTCACGATGTCGCAAGCTGCTCCATGTGGAGAAGAGAACGCTTTATGCGTAAACACCACCGTACCCTGCGCAGACAAAATGGATCCACTCTGCCAAAACACTACATCGCAACAGACCGAAGCAACCGTTAACATACCGTGTTTCACGAATCTGACGATGGACGTAAATCTTTTGAATGAAACAGGAAAACATCAAGATGGTTCTGCATATAAGTATTGCGTTACCACTATGGCGGTAGCTGGACCGGAATATAAAAATTGTTTGGAGGGGGAAAATGGAAAAAAAGATAATTATAGGAGTGTATTACAAGGTGAGGATATGAATATGAAAAATAAGTGATGATTAGATTATCAGCTAACAGATATAAAAAAAGACGTTTAGTGGAGTTGGATCAGTTGATCCTGTCAAAAAGTATATGCATACATCACCTATTTTGAACTTAATTTGTCTGAAGTAGAGAAGGGTTCGTAAAATGTAACGTATTTGAAGAAATGAAACTCCAAGAAATAACAATACTACTTATACAGTGACAGATGTATAATAGCGTTTCGGAAGTTCTACGAAAAACAATGAAAGTGTAATGATGCATTATTGAAATGAATTTTGTATAATACCTATTTGAATGAATTATTTCGTTCATCAAAGAATGTAAACTTTCACTGCCGGAGATAACAGTGTGTTTTTCCGGGTTTTTTAGCCGTGGTCTGCAGGTTTTTGTGCCTGACGTTTTGTCTATTACTGCAGTAGACATTATCAAAGACGATTTGGTAACGATCGCAGTGCCGATTTCATTAATGTTCATTGCCTCTTCTTTTCTATTGAAATGATCCCTGTGTTGTTGAATTTCTATTGCCTTCCTATATACTCTTCGATAGTAATTTTAAGTTTTATCGAGTATTACTGTATCTTCAAATGAGATAACGTGAGTGCTTCCTTTATTGAGAGCATTTTCGGCTACTGCTTTGTTAGTTTATCCGAGTCGACAATCCCTTTTTTGTTCAGAGAGACGGATGTCTATACTTCTTTTCGCGTTTCCACTGTAGACCGACCAGCAGCTACAAGGTATCCGGTATACCTTGGATGTTGCTAAAGGTTCTCTGGGTTCCTTAGATGACCTTAGACTGACAGTTTTTGTTGGCCTAAATATTGGATTCACATCTTGTTTCTCCGAGATTCTCCCAATCCGGTCTGTAATATATTCAACATAGGAATAGATTAGGTCCAAAGTGAGTGGGTCTATTCGACCATTAACCGCAACCCGCAAGGGTTCATTGTGGCATACACCTATTCACAATCGACCAAATAAACCCAGATTCTTAACGAAGTTGATTTGTTTGTATGGTGTTTATATTTACCTAGAAATGTGCACTATTAGTATATCCGCTCGAAGACCGGCACCATGTTTATCGTTTCTGAATATACTGAGTTTGCTGGTGGAATAAACTTCCAATCAACTTCCTGAGATACCATCTTCCTCTTGATTAAATCTTCGTGTAAATTTCTGATTATCTCCTTCAATTCTCGGTTTGCTGAAGTAAGATTTGAACCATTGTAGCTCCAAATTGATAAAGGCTGTCCCCTCCTAGAAATGAATCTTCTTATTGCTAAAATCGCTGAATCTGTAGTAAGAGATTCTGCGATCTCTAAATGAATATCTCTAATTGAAAGACATGTGAAGATTACCCCATATCTTTTTTCTTTTCTTCGTCCAATTGAAACTTTCATGGGTCCAAAATAATCCATTCCAGTACAGGTGAATGCTCTAGGTGGTTTCTGCAGTCGTTGCTCTGGAAGTTGTCCCCTTGCAGGAACCTGAGGTTTTGTTCTTCTTATGCTACAGAAATTGCAAAATCTTACTGTTTTAGTTACCAGTTTTCTGGCCTGCAGTATCCAAAATCTTTGCCTTATTTCATTTACAGTTTGTTTTAGACCTGCATGATTGTTATTTGAATGATAAAATTGAACAAGTAATCTAGTGAATGCGTGTTTATTGTCTAGTATGATTGGCTGCTTTGCTTGAGGAGAGAGCTCTGTAGAGTTATCTGTTCTTCCTCCCAAACAAATAATATCATCTTCCATATATGGTGACAATTGATAAAGTTTGCTTGATTTTTGTATAGGTCTATTTTTCATCAGAAGATGGTATTCTTCTGAAAAACAATCCTCTTGCACTTTCCTATTTCAAATTCTTTCTGCTCTCTTCAACTCTTCAATTGTCAATTCTTGTTTTTGGAGATTTTTGCCAAGTTCTTTGATATCATGTTGAAATCTGAAAACATAGGCTGTGCTTCTTATCAATTTCATGTAGTCAGAAAATCTTGTGATGTCTCGTAAATATTCAATTCTATGTGAAACTGTCAAAAATATGAATTCATGTTTAAGTTCAAAGGTATCTGGATTTTCTTGAATTTCTTCGTCCTTGTCTATTCTTTTTTGTTCCATAGGCCAAAATTCTTGTTTATTGTATAAAAATTCCGGACCTTGAAATCACTGACTGTTTTCTTGTAGATTTATGTCTTTTGTATCTCGAGTAGCTTCATCTGCTATGTTCAGATTGGAAGGAATCCAATGCCAGTCAGGAATTTTCATGTTCTCCTGAATCTCGCCCACTCGATGCGTAATAAAAGTTTTGAACATTCTTGGTTCTGATCTCAACCAACACAAAACCGTTTTCGAATGTGTCCAAAAGTGTGTTTGATTCACTTCGAATAAATGTTCTTTCCTTATTGTTATTGCCAATCTGGAACCCATTACAGCGGCTTGAAGTTCCAAACGTGGAATTGTTATTGGCTTTAGAGGTGCTACTTGTGTCCTTGCCATCACCAAAGAGACATGAATGTTTTCGTTCTTCTCAAATCTGAAATAACCTACTGCCGAAAACGCTTGCTCACTCCCGTCAAAGAAGATGTGAAGCTGTAAATTAAAATCATAAATGAAGTTCAATGCATAAAACCTAGGTATCTTGAGATCTTCAATTTTTGCAAATACACCAATCCATTTCTCCCATTTAATATTCTGATTATGAGTTATCTCATCATCCCAACCTATGCCACTTTTCCATATATCCTGTAAAAGAATTTTTGTTCTAATGACCTAGTGTGTGAGGAGTCCTAGAGGATCAAAAAGAGACATCACTATTTTGAGGATCTGCCTCTTTGTTGGATTTTTTCCTTTCGAAATCATTTCTTTCATTTTTTAAAAATTTCAAAGAAAACGCCAAATGATCGGATAATGGAATCCATTCCAAACCGAGAATTCCCTGTTTCTTTCTTGCAGAAGTTTTTCATCACCCCCAAGTTCTTCTGGAATATGTCTATGAACTTCTTTCGAATTACATACCCAACCTCTCAGTTCAAATCCTCCTTGTCTGTGGATGAAAATGACTGCCTTTATAGGGCGAATAGCTCCTTCCTCTGTGGACACACTATCAAGATAATCATCCATATAATGCCTATTTATTATTCCATCTACTGCTTGAGGATACTTGTTCTGGAACTCTAATGCATTTCAATTTTTAATATATTGTGCCAAAAAAGGCGAGGCCACAGAACCAAAAATCAGCACCTCCATTTCATAGGTGCTAGGTTCTTCATTGGAATTATTTCTCCAGAAAAATCGTTGTCCAGCACGATCTTCTTTTCTGATAACTATTCTGTGGAACATATCTCGAATATCTGCAGAGAAAGCTACATCTTTCACTATGTATTTGAAAATAACTCCAACAAGAGAATTCAATAAATCAGGTCCTCTCAATAAAAAATCATTCAAACATTTCCCTTCCACCTTGTCAGCCGCATCAAAGACGAACCTCAATTTGCCGTACCTTACTTGATTCTTCATTTCCTTCACTTTCTCTGCATAGTCTTTCTCTAAATATTCTTCTATTTTCTGTTAATGTTGTAGGGTAACTTTTGTAGAATTTCCTCCAGAATTTGAGGGCAATCCAAATAGTTCTGCATGTTCATGGTTTCTAGGGTAATCACCAGATTTGATACATCTTCCGCAAAATGTGTTAGAGACCTGAAATCATTATTTTTCATTATAGGAAAGTTCTTGGCCTTATTGACCAGACTTTTCACAATCAAACCTACTCGACCGTATCTTCTAATCAAAATGTCGATAATCGGTTTGATTGATCGTCTAGCATCCCCTTTCAAAGCTTTCCTCAACCTACACATATTTTCTTCATCTGTTAAACCCAATAAGTTAGTTGTTGAAAGAAATTGTTGATAAAAACTTGGCCATTCAATAGTTTCCCAGAAAAAATTGGTAAATCTTTGCAATTGATTGTCTCGCCAACAACTGCCTAATTTCTGCACCTGAAGCTTCTTCATTTTTTCTATAATGTGTATGTCTTGCCCCTGTATTATTTTCGAACGAAGCCCTTGTACTATTATGAGTATTTTGTGGAACGACCTCTTACCTGTCATATTCTTGACGTCCGTATTTTGCAACCAATTACGCACTTTCACTTCAGAATCAACAGAAGAAATCTCGTCATCTTTTGAATGATGTGAATTTCTGAACCTTCCGAACGGTATGTATTACTTACTCCCAAATCAAATTTCTCACTTAGTCTAGCTTTTTCTAATGCCAACCTATTTTCAATCATTTGCTTTTCCATTTCGAACTGCTTAGACAACAATAAAGACATTTTTTCATCAGCTTTTACTTGGACTTCCATGAGTTTTCTCATACAAATACTTCCGTTGGATCTCACAGATAAAGATACTGAAACCAATTTAGACTGTGCACCATCATTTCTACTGCTTCTACTGGACGAGACTACAGATAACTTGCCTTCTGTGACATCGCGTTCAGCATTGTCAACTTTTCTAACTTAGCTGATGGTGACATCCTTTTTATGACTCTCGCTCTTTGCTTTGGCAGTCTTGCTACGTGTTTCCATTTTGCCGTTCTCCAGGCTGAAGGACCAGCACAGTGTTTATATTTACCTAAAAATGTGCACAATTAGTATATCCGCTCGAAGACCGGCACAATGTTTATATTTACCTAGAAATGTGCACTATTAGTATATCCGCTCGAAGACCGGCACAATGTTTATCGTTTCTGAATATTCCACTATAAATAAAACGCAAACTTTTTCTTTTTTCTTCAAAAGCGTTTTTTATTCTTCTTGTTTACCAAAACTGCCATTCAACTATTTTTCACGTGTCAAAAACAAATACAAAGTGATTCGTATTTAAAATAAAACTCAACGGTATGGTGAGTCAAATGGTCAAATGGTAAGAGTACGGCTCTGCCGAACTCTAAAAACCTGATTCGGTCTCCAGCGGGACAGGCACAAAGAACGTGCTCTGCTGTTTCGTCATTTTCCACACAGAGGTGACACACACTGTATTCCGACAGTCCGAGTCTCTGCATATGATGATTCAAATGACAGTGACCAGTAAGAAGGCCTGTTAGACATCGTAGTTCATCCCTACTGTAGTCCAACAACTGTTCGGTATCAAGCTCCGAAGGGTGAATAATCGCCTTGGAGTGAGCCAATCCTGGAAGGTTCTTCCGGAAGTCCATAAATCTTTTTGCCGTCCAGGTGTTCAATCTTTGTTAGGAAAAGCCTGAAGCGATGCCAATGACAGGTTCTGGTCCGATGAAGCTGATTGCAGCACCCTCCTTTGCAAGGGAGTCAGCAGCCTCATTGCCTCCCAGGCTGTATGGCCAGAAATCCAGGCCAGAGACAACATGTTAAGTCTTTCTATCGAGGAGAGTCGTTTTTGGCAATTTGCTACCAATTTAGACGTTGCTCGGTAGGAGCCAAGAGCTTCCAACGCCGCTTGACTGTCCAAGAATATTTTTATTAACTTGTGTATGAGGTACGATTCTTCCAATCTCTCGGCACACAATTCAATAGCGTAAATTTCCCCTTGGAAAACTACAGATATTTCTACTTGCTCAAAACTACAGATATTTCCCTCCCTACAACATAGGGAGGGAAATATAGGAATGTAGTCTTTCACGACTGGCGTCAATAGGGAGGGAAAGTTTTTCCCTTGACCAACCTAGCTGGGGTTACTGTAGCGTTCTCTTTTCTAGGTCGTATGGTCCGCTCGAATTCTTCTTCGCTGTACCCATTTCCTTTGGAGGCATTTTTTAGTTTCCTCAAGAAGACTCTCAGGTTCACAGATATGTCGTGCTCTCTCAACCAACGTTTCAATTAACCCTCTCTTTTATTGTGGCTGGTGGTTACAATAATTGAATAGAACTGGCCGATACTTGATGAAAATGATTTTCACTATAAAGAGTTACAATCATTTTATACTCTAACATATTATCTACTCGTATGCCTACTTTTTAATGAATGAATCTACCTGAAAAGGTCAGGTATGAATTCAATAACTCTATGAATAAATTTTTAGAAAGTGCTGTAAATGTATTCAACTATTTTTACCTGGAAATGAACAGATTCAATAATGTGGGAATTATTCAATTCAGTTTGATCGTTCATAAAATATTGAGAGATTTTGAGTTTGTTCATTTCCATACTCTCCAACAGGTTAGGTTTCAAACCTTTCTTCTGGAAATGGAGGGGCTTGTATTCATGGTTGAACTCATGTCCCATGAATGGCATATGTGGAATTTATGTTTCCATTTTGGAAACTATTTTTGTGTTACTTTATGCGAGCTTTCGCTTTGACCTATATAAAACATCGAACATGACCCACATGATAATTTATACACTCACGATTTTTCTGAAACTGTTATTCTTAATGTGCATGCCTAAGTTGTTGGTTTTGACAGCAATATTTACACCTTTGTGTGCAGACAATCTGAAATATTTGTAGTGGATTGGCATAAGTAGGTCAAGGTTCTATAACTTTTATCCTCTTCTCTTCGAATTGGGTAAACTTCCTTCAAAGCTTGGCTGCATAACTTTGTTGATAATAAAGAATGTATTAGACTGTTATCGTAATCATTGTTGACGGCTACTTGTTTTATAACGTATTCCAAAAACACTTTATTGTGAGATTTTCACTAAATTGTTTTATAAAAACGCAACACGTGTTCCGCCATACAATAGCTTCATCTGGCGTGTCTTTCAATATTGTTGTTTTTGGAATACGTTAGTTATGGATTTTCATCAAGTATCGGCCGATTCCATCATATACTTGTTTTATTATGTTCAGTTCTTTATTGAAATTTACCTCTGACGAGGGCACATTTATCAGTCTATGGATCGTACTGTTGAAAGCTGCTTCTTTGTGCTGATACAGGTGGGTGGACGAATTATGAATGATAATATCTATATGTGCAGGTTCACGATAAATTGAAAAATCATGTTTGCTGTTAACTTTTGTTATTGTCAAGTCCAAAATTTTATAGAGTTTTAGTTTAGGTACCTGTCGGTGTGTGTGTCCAATACACTCTGTAGCCCAACGAATCATCTTCTCGTCTGTTCACAAGAACATCTAAGAAGGCTAGAGTCCCTTGGGTTTCTCGTTCCATTGTAAATTGGATTTTAGTATCGAGCAACCCACAAACCCAGTCATACACAAGTGCTGCCGTATTTATGATGAATGTTGGAGGCACCTCTTATTAAATGTTTTTTTTTTTTTAGGAAACTACACCTGGAACCTAACCCTAGAAACCATGAAACGCCCCTACACCGTTTATAACTACTACAACCCTACAGAAACCCCCTCAGGGGAAGTAGTGATGCCTCTCAACTTGCTGATTCCTTGCATCGAGAATGCGACGAAACTTTGTGCACCAAATACGGTTCCAGTATGCACTTCCTTCAATGAGATTATGTGCTTAGAAGTACTGAGTGCTTCAAAGTACTGTGAAGAGTACAACACCACTTGCATCAAAAGTCTGATTCCTTGTTTGGAAGGCGATCCTCTATGCGTGAACAAAACGGAAGAAGAACTCATAAAGGAAAATGATCGAAGTATGGTCAAAGTTGATATGCCATGTTTCGCAAATATCACCATCAATACGAATTTGCCTAACTTTGATATTTATTCATTCAATGGAACCATACCACTGGGAACTAATACTAGTTACACATATCATTACCATTACTGCGTAGTGACACTAGGAATACCAGGTGCTGAAACAGATGTTTGTATCATTTCTGCAGAGTCGAAATCATAATGTCATGTTCAGATCATAACTGTTAAAATATTGGAAATATACTCATACTAATGTTATTGGAGTAACCTTCAATTCTGTTAGTTTGTCATATTGCCAGGATCATTCATCTAAGATTATTTTCCTCAATACATAAAAACATTGAGGGAATTTAAAGCTAGGCAGTTTTCAGAAGAAATGCACTAGACTTGTTTAATCAATCGGTACTCATTACAAGTGCTGTCAACATAAATATTTTTGGAATTGAGTTTTTTTACTTTATATTATCGTTTCTTTTTTGAAATATCAACATAAATCTCTCCTACACCAAGTTCAATCAACCAGTAAATCTCTGTACTTTGTCTAACAAATATATCTTTCACAAAATACATGCAATCCTATGATTTCCAAAATTTTGCTAACAATCATGTGGTTCCAAATCATGACCACAGGAAGCTATGAGAAAAAAAGTTGAATGGAACCAAAAGTAACAAATTCATGGTTGGTGAAATTTAAAAAAACAATTTGAAGCTTCGGTTAAACAGAGTCCAACGTTGCAATAAGAGCAGTGCCATCTAGTTCCGTGAGGCTGGGAGCGTGTGCTACAATGTGCACACCTAACCTTTGTACCATGAACTGGTAAATGTGCACATTTATCAAACCTTATTTCAGCGGGAACTGAAACCTTGAATTTATTGGGTATATTAACTGTAACCCTTTTGCCTTTCTTAGGCATACTGGGGTCGGCACCAATCAATCCTATAGCAACAGCCAGTCTAAAATCTTTCAGATTCATGCTTCGTGTGTCTGGTGACCAGTCTCTGAATATTATAAAGGTATTCACTATGGTAAGATCCAAGAGATGCCAGAACAACCTATGCCACCCTTTTCTCGATTTTTGGTTCACTTTGTATAAGGAAACAACATATCGGATTGATCTACATATCCCATATGGGAATTATAACCTTTTACCAGTTTCAAGCAATCAATATTCCGAGACGAACCACCCTTCTGCTTTCTTGGAACAGTTTGAACATCAGCTGGACTATGGAAGTTGCTCAGAGATAAAACTGGTTTACTATCCATCCACTTCAGATAAAGTAAACCTACTTTGCTAAGTGTCCAATCGCATGTACCTCTATCTACTTTTGTATTATTATTCACTATCCTTTGGTTCATTTTTGCGTCTTCTTCTTATTGTTCCACAACCATAAATGTTGTCCTTCAGCAAATCATCCATGTCCATCAGCGTGACGGAAGTAAAGAAGTTATCGAAAAACACCTTATGGTGTTTTCCTACAAGTGAATGTGTCTTTGACGACTCTAGGACCTAAGCCTTCTTCACCTCCATCAGATTTTCCTGTACAAATCTGAAATTGTGACACAAATGCAGACTGGTCTGCCCTTTTCCATATTTTATAGCCCCTCTTGATTGGCTTGAGTGGCATATACTGGCGAAATCCTATTATCCCCTTGAATTTCACCAATGATTCGTCGATACTTTGACTTTTGCTGGGAGTGTAACATTTTCCAAAAGTATCTGACAGTATATCAAGCATTGGTCGTATCTTATACAACTTGTCGAATCCTGTTTGACCTACTTTTGGTTGGACAGCATTATCATTTAGGTGCATATTAGTCAACAGCCAACTGAAATGATCACGAGACATGGAAGACGATATAAAATTATCTCGCATCTGCAGTTTGGAAGACCAATAATCACGGTAACTAGGTTTCTTTGTGAACCCCATCATCAGATTTATACCAAGAAAACATTTGATTTCGTCCGAGTCAGTTAACAGGAAGCGATTGCCAAATTGCTGTGTAGCATATAAATTGGTTTCAAAAATATTTTACCGATAAGTTATGTTGTGAACAAGCACAGGAATATATCAGTTGGAGTCTCGATATTTTCAGGAATGTTAGGATCAAAATCTTCTATAAATGCCATTGGTTTGTTTACAAAATACAAGTTTTTCGTCCACTCTATAGGTTTTTTGACGAAATTTGAAAGTGGTAATTCATCCTCACTAGCGTATTCTAAACTGATACTATCAGTAGGATTATGTCGAACCTTAACAAAATCATCATCATCAAATATCTCTATATCATCCTCAGATGGAGCACCTAAAGTGTAAGAGTCTACCTCTGAAGGGATCTCATCAATCAGAGTATAGGCGTCATCCGACGTTAGTTTACTTAGGTCCATGTTTGAATAATCTGAAAAAAAAAGTTATATAGACAAACACTTGCAGCCTTGTGGTTCCATATGGAAACTCAGTTTCATAAGCAAATATACATGTTTTTTTGTACATCCTAGTGATGAAATATATTTCACGAATCAATTCAAAGACCTAACAAACATAATATAATAAAACGCTTACCGTAAGTTTTGACAAATAATCACAAAAACACTTTTGCTGGGGTTATGTCCAACATGAATATTGACAAGTGCATCAAACCACCAGAGCATAAACACTGAGCGAAACTGAGATGTGTATTCGCTAACGAAGTGTGGTAGGGGTCTATCGTTATAGTTGAGAATGTGTGGTTCCAGCTGGCGCTAACTAGGCGCCTGCAGCAGATTATTTTATTTGTGGTCTCTATATGGAACCACCTGCCCACAAAGAGTTAAACTTGATGCACTCGAGTATAAATATTGTTGAAATAATCATCGCTAAAGACTTAGTTATTCAACTACCAAAAAATTGGGTGAAATACCAAAAATTTTAACTGATTTGGATGACAAAACTAATTTTAATTGGGATACCTTGAGGTTGCACAAAAAATCATGGGCAGAGGTGAAAAGAAAGTAAAACCAGAAACCATTTCTTCATTAGTAATGATTAAAATAACTCGTTACTCAAAACAGGAAGCATTTCCCAAATGATGATGAAGTTTCCTTAAATAAAAATAAAAGGTGTGCATAACAAAAAAGAATATAGCTACACGGAAAAATTTGACAACTTTCAAATATTGTGCATTTTACAAGGTATTGACTTGCTAAATCAGATGCAAATTGTTCAACAATTAAATTAATTTTCTCTTCTACTGTTATTGTTAATTGTACCAACTGCTCTTATTGGAAGTGTAATTATGGATTTGATCAACTTTTTTTAAATGATTTTGACTAAAAACAAGAAAGATCTACAACCATTCAGAGTGGCAAGCAACTTATACTTGTTTTTCTTAATGTGTAGTCCTTTTTTACTATTTTTGTATTTACGTTTTTCCTCCAACAACCTATGATTTTTGACGCTAGTTTCTTATGATTCTAGGACTCCTCTGATAATATTGTAATTGTAATTGAATTCATCATTTTTAATTGCCTTCAATGACACGACTTGCTCCTGAGCTCAAAGAAACACCTTAGCCCTGGTATATATCACAGGCACGATCGATGCCAGTAGGTTCAATTTCAGTCACCGTCCAATGCCTCAGTCACCGTCCAATGCCTCAGTCAAATCACCAGATTTGCCCCCCTGCGACTTTTTCTGTGAAGAGATCTATTAAAGGACGGCGTTTTGCGACGATTGAGGAGATAAAAACCGACTCGCTGAGAGCTCAAGGACTTATTGAAAAGTGCATATTAGAACTGCTTCAAGGATTACTATTACCTTTATGAGACACATCATAGTGTGACACTTCTAACTGATTATCACGAGTTTCTTAACAGGTATTCAACCGAAGGTGGGAAATATTGAAGAGGGTAGGGAAGTTGGTGTGAACATTTAATAAATTTTATTGACACTAATAAATAATATAAAAATTAAGCTGATAACAACGATAAAATATGAACAAATAGGGACACAATGAAGAACGTCATTAAAATATCACATGAAATAGAGGAAGTTAAATTACAGATTAATTGGTCAGTTTGGTCAGCCTGCCCGGTACTGACGATGCCCAATAGGCTGAAACAGCTGTATACCGGTGGCTCTTAAATTGAAGTCAATATGGGAATGATCAAAAAGGTAACTGAGAAAATTTGTTCATTTAAGCTTTCTGTTCTGGTTATCTGATCTAACCTATCGAAAGTTTGGAGTAAAGAAAGTAAGGGCACCAAGAGAAAGTCATTTTGATCACTGGTAAATTCATGAGGTACTATTCTATTGGTTGAAACTAAAAAAAAAAAGATGTGCAAAATTACGCCGAAGCTGGAGGCGAAGACCGACTGCTCTCTTCCATTAACTTCATCACAATGAGTTCAAATATTTGTAAAATAACATCCTCGTTGAGTTTTTCATTTTGAAGTGATGACACAAGTAACGTAACAGCTTTGTAGAGGGTCGCTTGCCCAAAAACAAGTTTAATGGCATCTGAAATAGAAAACATTCGAGATTGCAGATTGGTATACAATCAAGGACAAGTGAATTTGAAGAATTGTAGGATTCACAATAAATTCACTAGAGGATATGGAGGGGTAAAAAAGAAGGAAACAACAAATTATAGTCAACACGAAAATAACCAATGAAAATGGAATACAAAGAGAGGTAAATCACTATATTGACCAATTTTTGTAATATTTCTTATATTTCAAGTCAGTTTTTGCTTATTTATGATGAATGAAATAAACTAATATTATTGTAGTAGTGTGTGGAGAACAGTAATTTCAAAGTTTCATGATGTGGGAATTTTTTTTTCGCTAGATTCAGTATTTTGAATTTCCGCTATAAATCAACATAAGTAAGTGACTTGTGTTTGGATGGAATATCTATAGTTATTCGTTGTTTTTCAAGATCGTTAATCATTGTTTGTTCAGCATCTGGATGTTTCCTTATTGAGAGTGGTTTTCATCTTCAGGCTACTTTCATACACAGTGATACACTAGAAGTTTGCACTCTACGGTTTTTTGTAACATATTTATATCTATTGAACTTTGAAGTAAGATTTGGCTTGAAAAATGAGTGATACAGAGCCCCACTTTGATAAGCCTCATTTCAAGACCTTTAAAATAAATTATCAAAAAATTAGTTTTTTTCTAATTGAAAGGGTTATGTTTTTAGAAGTGATTGATTTTTGGGAAAGAAAGTTTTCCCTTTCTATTACTCCACCTCGATACAAAAAAAATGTGGGAATCTTCCCACATCATGCAAAGAAGTAACTATCAGACACAAACTGGAAAAAAACCCTCTCTTCATATAAACATTTAATTTCACGAAAAAAAAATTACTTTCGAAACAAATACTTTGAACACTGAATTATAAAAAAAAAATACTTTTCTCCACTCAGTTTGTATTCCAAACAATATACTAAATGGAAGAGTGAAAATTTCATTTACATGGAACACTGTCATCCTCACTGGGTAGACATCCGATGTTTTGCCGTAAGACACTTGCCTTTGGGCTCTTCAGTACCAATCTAAATAACATTATAAAAAAAACACACATCTCATTGAAGACATCGTAATGACATTCATTCGCTTATTTCATTAAATCCCAGCCAAAGGAATCTTGTTTTAATTGAAAAAGTTATATTTTTAGAAGTGATTCTGACATTGAATCTGGTCATTATTACGCACTGGTCAAAGACGAAACGGACTAGTTCAAGTTTGATGATAGTTGTGTCACCAAATATTCTGGCAATATCTTGAATTTATTGGAGCCTCTGGAGACACCCTACATTTTATTCTATGAAAGAAAGAATATTGAGAGATCAAGATCTTCAGATGTTGTGGTGCTGCAGGTTTTTCCGGGTTTTCGTGCAGCTGAAAAAACAAATGCGCCACTGGAATCAATCAAGTCGCCTCGGAGCGCCATTTAATTTTTGTTCTTTCATAATTTGTATTACTTTTTTTTTATTTTTAATCAAACATAAGAATGCATTGTTTGTTTCTTCTTGTAATGGTATCCAGATTGGTACTGAAGAGACCTAATGCAAGTGTGTTACGGCGAAACATCGGACGTCTACCAGTGAGGATGACACTGTTGATGTAGGTAAATGAAAAATTTACTCTTTCATTTAGTATATTGTGTAGGAATCTTGTGAATGATATCTGATTCAATTCCATAATGACTGGTTGGAATACAAACTGAGTGGAGAAAAGTGTTTTTTGTTTACATAGTATTCATACAATTTTGCTCATTCAGTGTTCATATAAAAGTATTCGTTTCGAGAGTAATTTTCTTTCATGTAATTCAATGTTTATATGAAAGTAGCTGTTTCAGGCTTTTTCTTCCAGTTTGTGTATGAAAGTTACTTCTTTGCATGATCCACACATCTATGTATAGGGTTAATTCTTTTGAAACCTATTGCTTCCTTAATTTCTTTGGAAGATTCCCACATTTTTTTGTATCAAGATGGAATAGTAGAAAGCCAAAAACTTTCTTTCCCAAACAAACTTTGTTTGTTCTGGAAGTATTTTTTTTGGCAACAGATCAATAATGGTATTTTCTATACTAAAATTATGGTATTTTGTACTTTATTCAACCAAATAATATCAATAATTTCTTTGAGAATCAATTTTGGTACATTTTTATATTGATACAATTACCAGGGCCATGATAAAGAAACGGGTTATTTGATAATCAACAAATATTCAAACTTCCAGGAAGATTGAAAAGAATTATACTGAAGGCACCTCATAAAACCTCCATAAACTTATGAGTGTTATTTGAAATGAACAAGATACAGCACAAAACGAAATTTGAAATTGTTCGCTCTTTTATAGTAATATTTGGAATCAAAAGAGCTACTGACAATGTTTTGTTCAACAGTTCCCGAAAACAGACAACTTTGCCACAATTCAACTCTAATTTGTGTAGCCCTACATGAACGATCTAAAGAATGATCATATGATTCAATGAAAAACTTACCAGGAAGATTTTTCATCATGATCTCAACAAAATCATCTAGCTCTAGAAACAGTGTATCCTGATTCGACAGCTCTGGTATTCTGAACAAGTTAACACACAAATCTGCTATGGCACCATCAACTTCAGAATTGATGAATTCTTCCAGAACATTGCCTACAATCAGCATCAAAGTTTTCACTAAAGGTTCTTGGATGAGAGGTGAATCTGAGTCGGCCAGCAGCTCGCACATACTATCTATCAACGCTTTTGTAATGGGAAGTTTTGCCTCAAAATCATCCAGTTCATCTAAAAAAAAACAACATAATAATAATAATAATCTTTATTGAGTGAAGTAGGATATAACAACCAAAAGGCGATGTTCAAAACTGCAGTCTAGAACACTACAAGTTTGTTTTACCACTTAACCTCCACAGCCAGATACGAGAACTGGCAACAAAAATAAAAAAATGCAAAAAAAAATTGAAAAAAAACATTTTAAACCTGATTTCGATCAGCATTCGAGTAATAACAAAAAAGAAATATACATATGGATAAATTATTGAGTAGTCAAATTTGTTTACCTAGTAGTTCAATTTTTCCTAAAAATACCTATTTTTTAATGTTTTGACTGGGGAGGGGGGGGAATTTATAGTAAACGTTGCATATCTGATACCTAAATGATCGCTTGAAAAATTCGTGAGTGTGTATCGGAGGAGTTAAGGAGTTAATAACCCTTTGTGCCCATCATTCAAGTCGTGTACATCAGTCCGAAATGTAGTTTTATTATATAGATAAATCTGAATTTTATTACAAATAATCTTATGATAGATACACGCAACCAATCACTTCGCGAGGTGCATTTCACCAACCAAATTGAATGTTGTTGCATTTCTGGTGATTGGGAAAAGTGCTTATTTTGGATGTATTCTACGCCTGAGGTTTTACCTATTTTATCAAAGCAGAAATGTAGACGTTGACTTTTTTCTAGTAAGTATACAATATTTTCTAGAAAAAATTTTTCAAACTGGTTGTAGAGAAAGATAATGAAAAGAGAAACGAAACTGAAATTCAAGCTACTTTCTCTTCCATATCGATTTAAAAAAACATCTCATGGGTATTCTCGAAAGTCGTCATATTAACATTTCGTTGTTTATAAATATTCATAATAATTAACGTTATTTACTGGCAAATATCAAACGATCATTGATCAAAGTTCTTCAGCCAGATTGACGTTATATTAATGATGGCCAAAAACAAGTGCCTACCATTCATGTAAATATTAATAATAAAGTTTTAGAAAAATGTGTAAAGTTTCTGGGCCTATACATCGATGAGTGTCTTGACTGGAGTAGGCACTGTGAGTCAGTAATTTCGAAACTTAACTTTCTCAGCTATCTATTCAGAAATATGAGAACAGTTTTAACAGAGAAACAACTGATGATGTTATATTATACTCATGTCGAATCCCGACTAAGATACGGAATATGTTTCTGGGAGGATTTCTTAATATCACAGAAAAAATTCATACTTTGTATCACTGGTGTCTCTCGTACCTCTAGTTTGTTACGGTACGATTTTGTTTTGTCATAAATTGAACATATTATTTATGCTTTTAATAATCGAATAGTTTATTCATTTCCATATGCACATTTATGTATATTTGAAACTTTTCTAACCCGCCTATGACACCAACTAGGTCTGTAAAGAGGTTTTATTATTTTTTTCCTCACACACAAGGACATAATGAAAAGGACGGAAATTTTGGGAAACGTATTTTTCAACAGTGAATTGCTGGTTGAATTATTTCGCTCATTAAATACTGTGGTTCCTTTTTGATATTGTGAAGTTTGGAGTATTTTGAGACAGCATTGGAAACCAGGATTTCTTAAAAAATGGGCAAATAGTCAGTATTTTCACTCAATTTTCAGAGGACGATCTTCGTCTGTTTTGTGTTGGAAACACCATCAATTATTAGGAGGTTAGTACAGTATTTTCAAACAACCTTGTTCAACTCAGCTATGGGACCCGTAATAAACCTTGGCCTTATTTTTCTTACTGTTTGATTACGATATTGTCATGAGAATATTTTTCTTCAGGGTGTTAGATTATCTCTAAGAAAGGCATATCTGCATCAGCTTCAATTTGGGAATTTGAAAACGATTGCCAGTTCATTCTCGTGAAGAAGTTTTCTGGACTTTACCTTCACTAATAATTAGCACTGGGAATATTAACGGATTCCTACTACATACGTATCCACCGATACTGCCGGATCAATATTCATCCCCTGACAGCTCACGAAGAAGGAGCACCCGAAAAGCAGCTAAGTTTATACTAAGTTAATTGAATAAAGAAACTTACCGGTGTTTATTTATTTCCTATATTAAAATGTACAAGTTACCTCATTGAGATGAGTGGTGTAAGCTTTTACGTGACGTCACATATTAGCGAATTTTATTAACTATATTAATACAAGACAGCGAAACGACTTACATGTGCCATTTTCAAGGACTTATCTTTTATATATATCACCTCATGTGACTGGCAAAAGTTGTACGATGAACTAAAGTATTATTATTGTTATTGAAGTCAATATCAAAACTTACTTATATAGTTTACTGTGACTTTCACTGTGATTTTCATAAAGAATATCACAATAAACATTATTAGTGAATCACAATTCAACTGAAAAATATGTACTGAATAAAATGTGTAGAAATTGTTCACCTTCAAAATCCATATCAGGAGAAAACGAGGCTTGTTGAAATGCATCCAAGGAATCGATAGCTTCATAAGCTGTATCAATATCTGTATCTAACGTGCAGTAGTCTTTCCTCTCTGTCAATAACTTCTTCATTCTGGTGAGAATGTCAGCTTCCTAAAAAATAACAGAAGAAATGTCATAAAAACAGATGTGATAATGACTTTAAGATAAACATCATCAATTTAAATCAAACACCGTTTTATCTTACTCACATTTTGTTCACTCTGTATGAAAATCCAGGCATTGTCGGACTGCTCTACGCCTTGGCTATTGGTGGGTAGGGCAGTTTTTATGGTATGGATGGTTTTGTCAAACACTCCTGTAGCAGTTTTGGCACAGAATTTATAAAAACTAGGCATTACACCATCTGCTTCGTCAAGATCAGAAGTGCTATCCACTTCAACAGCTCTTTGTCCAAATTCATCTGGTGGCCTGTGAACCAAAAATACATAATTATGAGAACTGATATAAGGAATTTGAATGAATCTATGCCATGCATAGGAATGAGGTGGTGTTAAAAATGGGTATTAACTGTTTGTCATATTTGTTTAAAGAAAAACTCACGTAATCAGTAGGTATCTTTATCGTTTTTGTTCATCTTTCGAAAAATATACGGGGTGTTTCTCAAGTACTAGCATAACTTTCGGGGGTGAATGCTTGAGATATTTTGTGTTTTTAAGATGAAGATATGTTCAAAACTTATAAAATTTTAGAGATTTAGGGTGTTGAAAGTCAGTGTAGTATTGTACATTTTTGAAGACAGTTCTGAAACTGATATTGGTAGTTGTGGAATCTGGTCTATAAATGGGGGTTATGGAATAAGAAATTTAAAAAATTCCAGTGATACTTGAAATTCCTCAGAAAGCATATTCATTCGTATGCGAAATAATCTCGCAAATATGTCAATAACACTTTGATAATCATTAGATATGTTATCGTGTGAGACCTCAACAAAGTCCAGTCAGATCAATAGATTTGGATTCTTTGGATTATCAGAAGCAGAATTATTATTAATGGCAATATTATTTGTAATACCCCGAAAATTTTTGAACTCGAGTGTCGGTCAATGAAAAAAATATTTCATTCATACAAAGTGTACAGAAGCAAAAATGGCACATTAGTGCATAAAGTTAGACAGGTTTCCTGAAAGGTTCTAAAAATCATGAAAATCTTTTATATTTTATTTCCTAACTCTCATCTATACACCACTTCGTATTGCCATCATCTACTCCAATGAAATTAACACCATATATAAAGTTATCATTTTCAGTCAGTTGATATGAGTTATCTATAAAATGTCGACTCTCACTCTGACTTTCAACACCCCCAATCATATTAGGATCATATATTATGAATACTCTGACCCATTACTTGAAGGAAATTAATAACACAATCCATGATAATAATTACAGTTTACAACAAAACTTATAAGGTAAATGAATAAATCTGTTTAAAATATGGGCATTGAATGTAAAAAATCATCTTGATATTTGTCAATTATCAGTGTTACCAATCATGCTAGGAATCACACGTTAAAAAGTCAGACCTCGTTAATCCTTAAGTCGTGGTGATGACGCCCTACTGTTTGCTCACTGTCAGAACAACTGAAACAGTGGTTATCTTTATCAATTTTTGACTTTGACTATACATTTTCTAATATTGATCTTATAACCCTAATATATAACAAATGTATCTCTTTCATTTGTGTCACTTTCCGACACCAACTTGAAACAAATCTGACGAGATATTAAGAAAAAACTAAAGCCCCATTTTTTTTCACTTCATTGTTTATAATTTTTGTAATTTTTATCGGCGCGTTTTCGGACCTTCCCTTAAACTTTCTAGGCAAAAATACGAATCGAATGACACCTTGGTCGTAATTTTTGGACAGGGCTGAAAAATGTTACAAAAAAAAAGTACATGTGAACTAGACTATAACATGAAAGTTGACAGAAGTATGAAGATATAAAAAACAGAATCAAATTTTAAAATTGTTATGATGAACATGAAAATATATTAAGACGAAAATTTGAAAAGAATATAATGTTTGACAAAGAAATACCATTTTCAAAATATAATGTTTCATATAACGATATTATATTGTTATAGCGTCATTATAGAAATAAGAGAATGACATCAATATTAATTTTAAGTAAGTAACATTAATACAATGAAGCTAATGAAGCTGGGGACATGTCCGACGAATACACCCAAAAACTCGAAAGAGCATCATAACCTCAAAATTATAGTAAATGTCAGAAGTATAGATTAGATTATCTCTTAATTCTTTATTCTTTACAAAAACATGAATTTCCTAGATTTATGTAGCTTTTTTGAGGAAATCAAGATAACTAAAGGCCCCAGAGAGAAATACACTCTGATTCAGAACAGGTTCAAAACAATGCGAGAGGGTTTGTGTCACAATCCGGGGGCTTTTTTCAATGTACTAAGACTTATTTTACCAGATCTAGATCGAGAGAGAGAATCTTATAAAATGAAGGAAGCCAAGGTGGCTAGAACCTTAATCAAAATGTTAGATTTACCACCGGGTAATGACCGAAATGTACTTAACAAGTCTTATTTAGTGGCTGCACAAACAACTGATTTTGGAGAAGTTGTATATTCAGTTATCAGAAAATATTTATCTAATACCAAGACTAGTTTAACTGTACTAGAGGTGAACCAGTCACTGGATCTTTTGACAAAGAGAAAAAATGAATCTGAAGCAGAAACAATCATGATGAATCTATTCAAAAAAGTATCTCCAGAAGATATTCGATGGATCATAAGAATTATTTTAAAGAATCTGAAACTTGGTATAAGTTCCAACCAAATCCTCAATTGTTATCATAAAGATGGGGCATCGTTTTATGCTTCAAATAGCAATCTAAGAAAAGTGTGCCATATTTTAGCAAATCAAAATGTTAGGTTACATGAATTGGATATCGAATTGTTTGAAGCTTTTCGTCCAATGTTATCGAAACGAATTGATGGTGTAAACTTCAAAAGAGAACTACCAGATAATAAATTATTTTATGTTGAAAATAAATTCGATGGGGAAAGATTTCAACTACATTTAAGAGATAATGAATTCAAATATTTTTCAAGAAATGGTTTCGACTTCACTGAAAATTTAGGAAAATCTTATGAAACTGGTAAGTGATTAATTATAAGGAGAATTTGATGCATGAAATTCATTATACATGGTTGATTGAGAAGTCTCTTTAACCATTCATTAATGAAATAATTTTCAATTTCAATAGTTTCATAATTTTTGTGTGTTTCTAACTAGCTTCAGTTAACAGAAACTCCAAGAATAACAAAAATGTCCTATTATGTAACTTCTTTCTATAGCATTCTCTATATCTGTTGAAAAGTAGATGTTTATTGTAATTCCAAATGAGCATTTATCAATAAACACTCCCATTTCAAATATACCCTTTAAGAAATTTAGAAATCAGGCAATGCAATGACTGACAAAATCTCGTATTTCCAGAAAACCATTTTTTTAACATTCGGCAATATCTTTGGTCAGATATTAAGACTAGATTGCCATTACCATAAGAAAAAGTATAGACCAAGCCTTCTTTCCAATGTAATTCCACACCAAAAGTCGAGAGTTTTGTTTACAAATCTACTAATTTGAAAATGAGTTGTCCCACTATCAATTTGTCAACGAATAGTTGATATTTTCTCTTGAATTTTTATTGAATATTGGCTCAACCCCCGTTACCAATTGGACTGTTATGTTTTATGTACACATTTGAAAATATTTTTGTATGTGTCTCAAAGTACCAAGTGGATATCTGTTGCTTATCATCAATACTCTACCATTCACAAATAATAATTTTTTATATGACCTTAAACAGGTTCTTTTAGTCCATGGATGGCCCATGGCCCATATAAATATGGTGTATCTCCTATATAAATTTGTAATAACTTGGAATTAATACATTTATAAATATTTCATCAAAAATTTGAAAATAAAATAATTTTATTGCTTGTCTCCTATTTTAATTTATTGAGAAATGAAGTATTCTTCAAAATCCTGGAATTATAGGCTGTCAATTATCAAAGAGATAAGATTTATAGGTGCCATACATATTAGTTTACATAAGTTGAGGTTGAGAGATTGATCATTGATATAGAAATTAGATAAAAATTCACAATTGCCAATAATAAACTTTTGGAACCAAATATCGATGATAATTCAGAGAAGTGTATAGTAAAAGGGTCAAATGCCGTAAAGAATACAAAAATAATAAAATATTTTAGTTTTTTGTTTGTATGTTTGAAAGCAAAAGATTTAGAGTTGAATTTTTTTAATCATTCAGTAGCACTCCAAAATAGGCAACTTTTTCATGATTTATCTTACTCTGTAATTTTTACTGTTTTTATGAGATCCATATGTAGAGCCAAATGTCAAAAAAAAATTTGTCCAAACAATAATCTCCAAAAAGGTTTGTTATGAAAACAAACTTTGAGAACAAATAATATATTTTTGCACTGCTTGTAGAAAAGCAAGCACTAAAAACCAACTAGTTAGTACAAATATCTTCATGAAAGTAAAAATATACCCACCTTAATTTTTTTTTGTTCATTCAGGTATATTTACCCCACACCTGAAAGGTCTTTTTGATAAAAATATTAAGAATGCTATTCTCGATGGTGAATTGATGGTATGGAACAAGAAAACTAAGCAGTTTGGATCAAAAGGTATGGCTCTGGATGTGAAAAAATTACGTCAAGACAATCTTCATCAACCTTGCTTCGTTGTATACGATATAATTCTCCTGAATAACAGAGTTCTCACAAATGTCCCTTTCAGGGAACGAATTGAAATATTGAAGACCGTGTTTTGTAATGTAAAAATAGGCACAATAGTCCTGAGCAAAGTGAAGCAGGTTCATTCAAGGCAAGAAATAATAGATGAATTGAACCAGGCTGTTGATAATGAAGAGGAAGGAATCATTTTAAAAGATCCTGATTCTGTGTATAAGTATAGTGACAGAAATAGTGGGTGGTTCAAGCTAAAACTGGAGTATTTTCAGGTAATTACATTTTTTCATAGTTGAGCTCCAGATAAAAACAGAAAATTAATCTGCAATTGTTTCACTGAAATTACGTTTCACTATTACCTATTCAAAACCAATCTTAAATAGACAAACAAGTAGTAGACATTCCTAACTTATAATAAATCCGAGGAAAATCAATATTTCCAACAGAAGAATTACTGATATTTCTTGATAACAACTTCCCCAACTGACTAAATCAAGAAGTGCAATTCGAGTTTTGAAAAATTCTTATTCATTGTAAAGCATCATATATCCGAGTTGATCAGATATGACAATGAATTGTACATGGTGCTTTCTATTTGCTTCCTAAGTTTGATATTTGGAGTAATCGTATAGTTCATTTATATTTTCAACAATGAAATCCTGTACACTTTTCTAGATCATTTTCTAGGCCATGAAACTTTTGTTAACACCAGTGTTCATTTCTGTTCAAAATGGTGGTGTTAGCAGCCTTTTATCCAAATTCTACAAGGCAGCACTCTGACATTGTCTATAAAACTATCAAGTTTTTTTTAAATAACATTTTTTACTTCGACTTACTCGAAAATCTTGATAGAAAAAGGGAATTTTCAATCTACAACCTTTGAAGTACTTATACCTCTTTTTCTATAAAAAGTGCAGAAGGGTTTTTTGTTTTTTTGATCCAGTAAGAAAAAAATGAAAATCTCAGATCATATTTATTTACTCATCAATATCAGCAACTCACATTTTTTGACAAGTCCGAGAGTTATTCAATAGTGTCAGGATCAATATAGCGTTTTGATAATTTTGAACATATATTGTACTTGTTACTTTTCTAGTAGTGTCATTCAGACACAATTTGCTTGATTAACATTTGTTAATACTAACTACCACCGCTATGCAGTCATTGTTTATTCCCAAATAAGGATCACTGCATTTTGACTTTTTGTTTGACCATAAGCATTTGAATAATAAATTACATCCCCAGATGTTTCCTTCAGATACAAAAATAAAAAGTCCACCCAAACAGCTATTTTTGCCTACAGATATCAAATTAAAAATCTTCAAAATATTGCTGTCAAATAAAAAGTGATTTCTCCTCAACTAAAGATACTTATGAGGAAATAGTTGTTTAATATAAACTGTTTTTTACAGCTTATATTCAATAGATACAACTGTGAAAAATTCACCACTTCATTATAGAATTTCATTTATATGAAAGTTTTTCTTCCTTGTTTGCATTTTTTCATTATTATATACTAATTGAGAAATGGAAAGCCTAAACATCAGTCCTTAAAATGTTTTTCCACAAGGTTAGTCTCATATAAGTTCTTCAAATCTAAGTTGCAGACAATAGTACAATCTCATGTTGCACATAACTAAGTTGTTTATGTAGATTATCAATGTTGTTTTGAATTTATACATTTTTATCTACTAACAGAGAAGTAGAAAGGTGAGTTAGTTCCATTTAACTTCACCAATAATGGATAATATATAAAAACATTAATATTGAAACAAGAGTTGTAGACAATATAAAATCATACCATGTTACACTGAATTGATTCGTTCTTGTAGATTTTTTGAATAACCAGAATATAGAAATTGAATTAAATCAATCAAACACTATTTCAGGATGTAATGAACGACATGGACCTCATTCTGATGGGTGCTGATCGATCGTCTTACGCATCTGATAGTTTCAGATCTTTTTTTGTTGGAATTAGATCAGGTAATGCCAGTAATGGAAAACCCCTCTACTTATGTATAGGAAAGGTAACAACTGGTCTGAACATGGAGGAAGTTGAAAATCTTGCAAAAAAAATCAAACTGCAAGGGAAGAAATTTGAAAATTTCAACTCTGAAAACCTGAAATTTGGCAAAGAAACTCCAGACTACTACATCGACCCAGAAAATTCTTTAGTATTCGAAGTGAGAGCAACAGAGCTGATTCGTAATACCGATAATGCTTACAAAACTGGTTATACTTTACGCTTTCCAAGAATCCTCAAAATACGTGAGGACAAACCAGTTGACGAATGCATGTCGATCAATGAATTATTAGAACTCACAAAAAATAACAAGTCCGTCATCAAACTCAACAAACGCAACATAGAGTTGGAGGAAATACTGAAAACCAAGACGAAAAAAGTTAAACAGAAGGATATAGTTATGCCAACCATTCATGACTCTAAGAAAGTATCTGACATATTGGACGGATATAATATTTTTGTAATGAATGATAGCCCGGAAATGGATAAGGAAAAAGCTGAGAGTATAATAAAGAAAGCCGGAGGGACAGTGTCATATAGAGTGAAAGAGAATGTTGATATAGTCCTGGCAGGTGATAGATCAGAAAAAATCAGGCAACTAATTCAGAAAAGACCCAAATATGACATCATAAATTTAGCATGGCTGAATAGGGTTATAGAAGATGGCAATATTCTAGGCTACGATCAAAAGGAAGTTTATTATATAGGTTACAATTACAAGAACTGTTTATCAGATGAATTGGACAAATATGGTGACAGTTTTACTATAGAAACTGATGATGACAAACTGAAAAAAACTTTTCAAACCATTTCAGACATGGGAGAATTTTCAAGCCTAGGCACAACAGTGAGACTTCATAGGAGAAAGTATTTCAACGAATATTTTGCTTACTTTGACAAGTTCTCCATTCCTGATGATCAAAATTCTGAAATAATTTATGATTGTTTTATTGACCAGCTCGAGTTCCAATATTACGGGGGAAATGTCTGCGAAAAAATTTATGAAAATGTGAATCTGATAGTGTATAATGGCCAAAGTGACAGAAAAATATTCTTGGAGAATTATATTAAATCTTTGAATAATACAAGAATTGGGATCAAGACTAAAACTTTCATTTATGAGTAAAATTTTTGTTATTGCCAAATACCTGATGTTTTCGAGAAAAGTTAATCATATTTTGCTCAATCCCAAAAATTTTTTTGACAAAAATGCTGTGATAATTGGAATTGAAAAGTATTGTGTTGCAAGTTAAGAAGGTCACTAATTATAAAAAAAAGGAAAACACTATGATATGAAGAGATTCCTATTTATTCAATTCAATTTCTTACAATTTCATTTCCATAATATGTTTTTTATATTTATGGTGAGGCAATTTTATTTGTGGAGGATATTATATTATCTTGTAATTCTGTTGTAAGCCGCCGTTACTGATACTATATACATTGGACCCATTGATTTATTTAATTTGTCATTGTTTTAATACAATATTTTGTTAAATAAATTTTTTCAAACTCTCATGCATATTATTTATTTTGAACAAAAATAAAAAATGGAGGCAAACAAGTAGATTATTCTTTTCAAATTGTTTACAGTTTAAATTGAAATGCATCTCTACTTTCTGTGTACCCTAAATAGACAGATATTATATTTATCTTTATGTTGCTTTTACTAGATAAGATATGTCAAAAAAAAAACGAAAACATAAACTTTCATCAATTTCACATCAGCATGAAGCTATACATATAATATATACTAAACACAGAGAGAATTTGTCTCGCTTTTGGATATAATTGTCTTAGGCAGGGGTTCCCAACCAGTGGTACACATACCACGTACACGTGGTACGCGGGAACGTTTCAGGTGGAAGGTTTCAGTGATGCAGCAGTGAACAGCAACATGCTGTTAATAGCAAACATGACTCAGCTCACCGGTCACTAGAAAAACAAAATACCCATAACCCAGTGAACGACCTGACATCTTTGTTTTTCTATTACATTGGAATTTATAATTCCTAGGTAATAAAACACTTTAGGAATATTTCCTAGGAATCCACAGATACTACAATTGGTAAACAAAGTGTGTTTCATTTTTTACCTGTGGGTCTTTAAAAGGATTGTCTTTTACTTTCACTTGGTATTACAGGTTCCTTGTTGGTGTTGTGATTATCAATTCTGATTTCGTATAATAAAACTGAAGTATGAAACGATTTCTGACGTCCTCTTCTACTTCAAAGGATTGTGCTAAAAAACCTAAATTACCGGCCAATCGTAAATACGGTGAAAGCTACTTACAGTACGGTTTTATAATGAAGTCAGGGACTGAATACCACAGCGGAACTCATTCTTAAGGTAATTGATGAATATGTGCTCAAAGTAGGCATTCCCTGGTCCAAGTGTATTGGCTTGTGTACAGATGGGGAAGAGCTATGTCAGGAAAATTGACAGGACTAGCAGCAAAAAAGAAGGGAGTTGCTCCTGAATGCAAAAGTATGTATTGTGTCACCCATCGAGAAGCATTAGCTGCTAAAGGTATGTCGGAAAATCTTAACTCTGTTCTATCAGATGCTGTGAAAGTTATCACTCCTGTATACAGAAGTGAGGTGGTTATCTCGCGGGAAAATTTTGAACCATCTCTTTGAACTGAGATCAGAAGTTTTCATGTTTTTAAGTGAAAAAAATCATGACATGAAAAAATTGTTTGCTGATGAAGAATGGTTGTCAAGATTGGCTTGCCATGCCGACATTTTTGACAAACTCAACACACTGAAGTTGGGACTTCAGGGACCAAACACAACAGCCTTCACAGCTAGTGACAAAATGAACTCCTTCAAGAGAAAGTTGGTCCTGTTTTGTTCACAAATACATGAGGAGAATTTATCTGCATTCCCCACTCTATTATCATTTTGTGAAGAAAATGAAATATCTCCAATGCTAGATGTGGTTGCAGATATCATTGTTCGCTTGGAAGGCTTTCATAAAAGCTTTAACAAGTATTTCTCTGAAGATTACTTAAAAGCGGACTGGATCAGAAATCCTTTTTCGGAAACCTCACCAAATTAATTGGAACTAAAAGAAAGTTTTATTGACCTAACAGAAGATAGTTCCATGAAAGATTATTTTAAAGAGGAATCTTTAACTAATTTCTGGATCGGATGTAAAACCGAGTGCCCTTTGCTCTTAAGGCAAGCCCTGCTATTTTTGATGCCGTTTGTTTCGAGTTACTTGTGTGAGAGTGGATTTTCTGAACTCTTGTACATGAAAAACAAATATAGAAGCAGAATAAGTGTTTTAGAGAACCTAAGTTTCGCACTGAAGACTATAAAAGTATATTTTGTATGATGATTAATTTTTTGCTGACTTTTTAATAATTTTTTATTTGTATGTTTTTAGACCTATGGGTAATAAATAAAATAAAATAAATAAATTAATACCATTTTAATCTTTTTATTCCTCCTTTATTATAAGCATGTTATAAATAAACAAATATCTAACCATTAAATATGAAGTTTTCTCAGGAATTTAGTTGAAAAAGCCTTAGAACACTTTTAGGTCTGGTGGTACGCCAATATTTCTCAAAAAGTCAAGTGGTATGCAGGTGCAAAAAGATTGGGAAACCCCGGTCTAAGGTATTAAAATGCTCCTTCAAGGTTTTCATTTCTCTCACAAAAGTGTAAAACAGATGAATTAAATTTTTCTGTAGCCTAGATAGTACATGAAATAACAAAAAACACATTAGGAATCAAATTTCATTTATTTCCATGGAATCAATTTTGTTTGCCTCAAAAGAATTCTAAGAAAACAGTCCGAACATTTTTTCCATGATGAAACATGTCAAAAAACATATGTTTTTGAAAATCAAGGATAGCCATGAACATATTTTTATGAGCAATACATTCAGGATATATTTGTCTGTGTATGGAAAAATATGGATTCAAAAAATGAGAATATGTAAATTTCTTTCCATTTAGAACTTGACATCAGTTATATTTGAAGGTTCAAATATTCATAGACTACAAAATTAGTACACTTCATTAGGTTGTAACTCTTGGTAAAAAAGATGATTTTCACTTACCAGCAATATTTGTCCGTCAAAATTGGGAGAATCCATTTGTAAAGGATTCATCCACACAGTATCTAAACTGTCTTCAGATGGCTCTTTCACAGGAGATTCTTGTTTGGCAGATTTGCTGGATCTCCTCTTTGAAAGATACTTATTGGGTTGGGAAGAAATATTAAAAGTGGCCTTTGCATTTTCGATGTTATCTTGTAATCCAGTGAGTCGTAATCCTTTTCTAAAACCAGCTCTGCCAAAATCCAGGATGCCTTCAACCATACCAGCAGCTTCATCCTTAAAACCCAAAAATTCTCAAGTCACTTATCCATGTTATGTAATGAAAATGAGTATGAAATATTCGTTTGCCAGTTATGTAGTTGTAAGTGGATAAAGCTTCACAAGAATTTACAGTTATCTAATAACTTTATGAAAGTCTGAACAACTCCTGCAGCTGTTGAGTAAACTTCTAGAGGTGAACTCCTGATAGGCATAGGGAAAACTGTAAGTCTTTACATAGATTATTTCAAAGGATTAGATACTTTGTATTTACTGGAAAATTAAGACTACTCATGGACAGTTTAAAAGTTGTGGATCCTCGTCAATATATATTATCTTGTGTTGTTATTTATTTGTAAATATCTATTCTAGAAGATATATTGAAGTTAACCAGGAGTACATGAACTGGCATTTGAATTTGACCATCCGATACAATATACCTATGCTCCCAAAGAGAATCTGGTTTCCAAACCGATGACAGTATGTCTGTTGAATCATAACAATTGGAATCAAAATTTAATTTTTTTAAATGAACCATTCTAATTCCTATATCAAGTCCATACTCCATAAAAATTATATTGATCTTTGTTTCTGATATAGATCAAATCTCTTTGAGATCATCAAAATAATAATTATTTATCATTCTATTAAGTATTAAATTCATTAATATTATTTATTCAAAAACATTTTATTAAAGGAGTTTTACTGTGAAGTTTACAAAACTGCAATATGTGTTTCGCTATACCATAACTTTCTCAAGCATTTTCATACTCAGCATGCTTGAGAAAGCTTTTGTACAACAAAACACGTATTGCATGCTTCCTGAGAAATCTATTGTGTAGCGAAACATGTGTTGCATATTTAATTATGAAAATGCTTGACAAAGTTATTGTATAGCAAAAAACGTTGTTTGGTAAACTTTCCAGTGAAAATCTTACAATAAAATGTTACATTTATAGTGTAATGTAAAAGAAGAAAAAAGTCAATCCAAAGCAACATAAGCACTACTAAGCGAAGATTCCAAATTTGTTAAGCAGAAATTGGTGAAAAAGAGAAAATGTTCATGCACTTCATACCTTTTGCTGTAAAACGGATGTAATGAAAGTGTAAAAGTGTGTAACATTTAGTAAGGACAATGAACATTTAACAGATCCTCACCTGAAAATCTCCAATTTTGTGCAAAGCACTATTCACTGTAGTCTCTTGCAAATCCTTTATGTTGTGCAAGGTATGAACAGTGGCATCACCTGAAATCACCAACTGCTTTCCAAATATCGTTCATACCATAATACATCATCATAATCATAATAATGAGTTTTTGCAACAAATACTTTTATCAATAACTTTAGCAGCAATATTAACAGATTATATAATTTTCAGTTATTTGACTGTGGTATTAGTGAATCTATAGTGGATATTTTAGAAAAGAAGATAAGACATACTTTCAGAATCAAAAATTAGATATATTTTCAACATTTGCAATATTTATAATGATTATAACACCCACAATGTATTTGTATGCTGCATCTTTATGTTAATATAGTCAAGGCTTCATCTTACCAAATTTATAAGTAAATGTTTGGTGGAGGCTTTGTCTGCAGGATCAAGTGCAGGCGCAGCTTACGTATATGAAAAGGATTTTTTTTTAAAATACTCAGATGGTTCATTCTGTCTGAACTGACCCGAACTTCAGTCGGTCAGTAGTGCTGGAGTAGAGTTGTGAGCAACATGTCACGTTACCGTAACACAAGTTTACATCGAAGAAAACTATTGGAGCCAAGCCTACTAATGAGAACGTAGTTATTATTACCCAAAGATGGTGTTCATTCTATAAATGAAGGAAGAAGTAATTTTGTCGAATTTTCTTTTACGAGCTGAGGTGAACATTTTTACTGTCTGATAGAGCAGGTTTTGACAAAATACGCGAGATAAATTCTCCATTATCAATTTCTATTTAGTATTGGTAATAAAATATTTTTATACACAACGCTCCTGTAATCGCGAGCGACCTAATCACACTAGTTTGTTCTCGTCGCTTCCGCGCCGCCGTCGCTCTCTTTCCGCCCGTGCATCGCTCGATCACTCCGCCCCACCACCGCTCATTTCGTACGCGTCACCTATACTGTAGATTGTATGCCTCGCCACCGTTCCGGTGTCGCGTCGCTTCGCCATCGCTTGGCCGTCGCCGTTTTCGTGCCCTCAGCCTATTCATCTTTTCATTTACATGTGATTTTTTTAAGCAGCTTGGTGTGTATAAGAAATAAATATAGACCATATACATCAATTAGGCTTGCACATGTAGGTCAAAAACCTGTTTCAACACTGATAAGTGGGATTGTATTCTAGCCACAGGCAACAATTTTTTACCATTGAAAAATGATATTTTTCAAACATAGTTATTTGGCTGCTGAAAATTTTTCAGTATTTGGGGTTTCATTGCTGAAAAAGTTATAGTTATAAGAAAGGTCAATTTTCAGGCAAAGAAACTGAATTTGACTCAATTGCTGTTGAATATTTTGTAGAGTTTGAAAGATCACTATTTTCATTATCAATTTTCCATAATTTGTTATTCAATACCTATAACTCAAAGAACTATTTTTCAGACGCATATGATACATTCCCGTACTCACTGATAGGTTTTATAGAGCTCTTGAGTCCTTCCATAGTGTTGTGAGTGGTAAGTTTCATTTCATTCAATAAAATATTGGCTGCATGTGCTGGAGTTTCCTCTACATAATGCTCAAGTTTTGCTAAAAATTTCAAATTGTATCATAAAGTCTATATTTATGGATTGAAGTTATTTACCAGGATCCCAGAAACTGGTTTTTCCAATAGGTTTTGTACTTTCCATTGTCACGGGTAAGGCGTCAAGCGGATCTTGACCTAAAGAAACACCCAGTGCCAAATCTTTGGAGTCACTATAAGTTTTGATGCTTCTGTTTATATTTGGCTCATGGATTTTAACTGCATCTGTAGTATCAAGCTTTTCTGGAAATTCTTCTTTCAGTTCCTCTGCACTGTCAAGTTTCTGCAAAATTCATATTTCAAATAAAGTGGTCCATCAAAACTTATTTAACAACTAACCTTCATTCTTTTCGTACTATTTCTGATTTTGGGATGGTTTGAAAGTAATTTGCCATTTCTTGATGAAATTTTAAGTTCTGTGGAATTTTGTTTCATGTTCACATTGGATTTGATCAATTCCATTATCTTTCCAGAATTTTCTTTACCAACATGTCTCTTCTTTTTTGTATCATCATTTTTATTCTCTACAGTTGACTTTCCTTCTACTTTGTTTTTAGGTGTTACTTTGGAATCCAATACGTCATAATACTGAGAAATACTGATACGAGTATAAGCAGATAACTTGTATTGTTCTTTAATGGCTTTAGATGCCAGAGATTTCAATAAAACATAATTCAGAACTTCAGGATTTGAAATCAGTTTCAATAAAAATGAAGTAAGTTTTCTTGCCATGATTGAAACCAAAATCTGGCACGGCAGGGAATTCCACAACTCCGAATTGATAAAGTGCCGAAGTAAGTTTATTGTAAGATGATGTATGAAATAATCTTTCGCCTTTGAATTATTACTGCAAATGTGTGAATACCTGAAAACAAATTTTTATCTAGTCACTTAAACTTTCCAGAAGTCACGCAGAATCGGTCAGTGTTGGTTGGCACTATTTTTATGATTTCTTGAAAACTTAAAGGGATGGAGGTGAGTTTGTAGTCAAGTACCTATGACAAAAACTAGTCTCTGAGCCAGAATGATAATTGGTACATAAATACTTATCTTTATGGACATGTGGATTGAATTGATCAGAGTACATCAAAGGAAAATAACATGTCCAAAAATTCTGTTATTTTCTGCAAATCAAATTAAAAATACACATTGAAGTATTTTGTGATGATAAACAAGGTTTTTTTAAAAAAGTGAAAGCACAAAAACGTTTTTGTAAAAAACACTTCACTTCACAATTTGGAAAGCAATAAATACATACTTATATCAAATACACATTGTTATCTAGAGATAATGTGACACCTGCATATTTGAAGTTATTTATTGCATAAATGTAACAGAAGTCTTTTCTTTCTTCATAGTTATCTTCCCAGTAAATATCACATATGTGCCAGTGCCAAAACAGAAGCTAGATATAGGTTTAAAATTGCTTTTGTTAGAATAGGTAGTGATAATAAGTGGAAAATTTCGTCTACTACGAATCCAATGTTGAGAAATTGAGTCATGAAGAAGTAGATCTGAAAAATAGTCAATCACAGAATTTTAGATATAGATAAAGATGATTTTTCTGAGGGCCAATATGCATACAGGGATGAGGGAAAAACAAAAATATATAAAATACAGCTATTTTGACAACCCTAAGTATTCTGATATTGATAAGTATAATCAGAATTTGGAAACAATCAACTAATTTTGTTAAGGAAGCTATGGTAAAGGAAATTTGGTTTGCTGTATTGAATTTTTTGTATAATTATGAAACTTTTCCAAAAATAGAAGTAACACTCATTTTGTCTGCAAAGTTGCATGGCTGACGGATTTGGAATAGCAATGACGCTGTCTAGGTGGCTCGTGGAGTTATTAACATAACCCACCCAGAACACAAGGCTATAACAAAAATCAATGTCGTTGACACCAAAAAATACTCATTTTGATTTTTGTGCATTCAGTAACATTAAAAATGGGTATTTATGAATTGATGTACCTCGGCCCGACAGATTGGCACGACTCATGTATCAAAAGATTCAGCCAGACTACTGGAGAATTATTTTCTTATGTAATATGAATTTACCTGTATAGTTCCTCAACAGTACCACCATACTTGTCCCTACGCTTCAGACTTCTTCTGAACTCCTTCAAGTGTTTAAGATAAATATTCAGAATGCTATGTATAACCACTTTAATATTAACCCCTGCTTGTACTTCTACCAGTCTGGTAATGATTTCTTCTAAAAACAACCTACTCTCTTTAGTAAAGTCACAATCATTACTAATATCCTTGTACCATTTACTGACAAAGTATTTGTCAATATCATCTACCAAAATTTTAAGTTTTTCAGGATTTGGTTTGTGATTCGACTTCCTTTTAGTTCCACTTTGCTTTATACTTTTGATGAACTGCAAAGGTTCATTCTTCTGTAGGAGTTTGTGAAGACATACAAAGGTAATACACATAGAAAGAAACCATACTGATATTGTAGAAAATAGAAATGTTGCAGAGCTCACTGGAAGTATGACAATTTTAGTGTTGACTACAGATACTGAAAGTAACAGACCGAATCCTATAAAAATGATTTTCCAATCCAATAAAAATTGTAACTGCATTTTCAGTAGAACAACTCCTTACTCAAAATCGATAATTTGAAGATAGCAGGCGTTTCATCAGATAATTGTTTATCATTACAATGGGATCATTGGGAGATATTAGTGATTACTGATGTACTTCGCATAATAGCAAGCATTCTGTTATTTATTTATTTCATTTCAAATGAAGTTCAGAGAGGGGAAGCGAAAACATTTGAAATTAGTGTACGTCACCTGTCAAATGTCAATAGTGAAAAAAGTAACAGACAACAGGGTTTGTTCGAAGAGAAGTCTCCATTCTAAACGCTGGGAACATTGTTAAAACATGGAAAACATGTTGGAATATGAAGGGAAAAACGATTCTCAATACTGTTTTGGTCTCTGTGTAAACGTTCATTTGCGAGGTTTACGAACCTATATGTTACGTACACCTGTATAAAGTTTATTGTTTTCAGATTGTGGTAGGTGGAGGTATCAAAATAAAAAAGTTTATGAAAAACTGATTGTGATTAATCATTAGTGGATTTTGTTCTTCATTATATTTTCTCAACGGGCCAGTGTCTAATCGAATAAAAATATTGAACTATAGAAAAAATATTCAGGGTTTTCAAAGGAATCGGTGAATTACTGTTATCGTTCTATCACCTTTTTTCTACAGTCCTAGCCAGTGATATACACAAGGCTCTAAAATAGTTCAATCTGTTGGTTTTCTCACAAACCAGGAACGGTGGAAGTAGCCCTTTACTCCCAAAACTGTCTGAATTTTTTGAGGGATAAAAAATATTAGCTTCGACATCGACCGCTGACGATTCATCCACTGTTTTTTCTTTGTATATATACTAGATTTTCCTCTACAGCTTCAAGTATCAGGCTTTGTCTCTGAAGGACAATTACGAGTCCAGCAATGCATCTATGGTTCAGCCTAGCATCACTGATGGGACCTATGACAGGCTAAAACAGAACTGTCTGGTGTTGAATCTTCAATTCGTTGTGTTCTGGGCTCTGGTTTTCAAATAATCTAACTCAATTTATTGTCACCATTATAATTTCTACAAGAAATATATTCTATGAAAAAATCAATATTAACTTGTCATTCCAAATCTGTCTGTCTGTTTCAAAATCTGTTTTTCCGTTAACCAGCTGTCGCACCCCTACGAACGACAACCCTCAGAAGTCGAAACTTGTGCGAGCTAAGGATTAACGAGGTCTTACCTTTTAACGTGTGATTCCTAACATTCCTAAAATGTTTTTAACGATTAGCAAATGAAGGCTTCGTGGAGGTGAATTGATTTTTATAAAGTAAAGGTGATAACATTTCCCCTTATGAAGTCGACATCTAAGGGATCGACAAAAGACTCAATCCTTGAACATCAAAGATAAAAGAGGTACCCCAAGGCGGTCAGTTGCAAAGCCAAACTTCGATATTGACCACCGCACCGAACGAGATTCTTCATCTATCTTTTCAGCGTAGACTTTTCGATATCTATGGAAACACCAGCACAAATTCAAACCTTGCTTATCTATCTGAACCACAGTTCAAGGACTACACGAAAATATTTGCTTGTTTGTAATTATTAAACTCAGAAACTACATGATCAATTATTAAATTGTTTCTATCTTTAGAAATCTACATCGTGAGGGGGTATATTAGATGTTAATTATTTAGTTACTGCTTCAACTTAGGATATTTCTCTGACAATTTCATGACAGAAATTGAAAATATTACAATTTACCATCCACTACTTGCGCGTTCTTTTAAAGAGTGGGTGGTAAATGGGAATTAATACTTCTGTTATAGTCAATAAATATTTCTTTGAAACATCTGATTACAAAAAGTAACACAATCGAACACAATTCTCAGAACCTCTAAAATCAATAATTTTCATCATCTAACGCTGTTATTTGAAATTTACACTTTTTGCTATCAAAATGATCTTTTCAGCATTCTTCGAGGTGAATAAATCCAGAATATTGCAAGCAAATGTGAAATTTTTCAAAATAATCATGTCAGGCCAGCTTCCTTGCTTTGTAGATAAGATTTACAAGGTTTTGTGAAAATATTTCTTTCAGGAGTGCCACCATTTCAGTTTCAGGTTTCACTACCTCAATACATATTCGACGATTCCCTTTTCTCAATAGAATAATTGCGAATCTATATCTGTAACCTTTAGCATGGAAAAATTATTAGTAGGTATTTCTAGCAAAGAATGAAAAAAATTATGTAGTTTTGGAATACATCAATGAACAATAATCCGTGGTTGAAAAATGTTTATCCCAATTTTTTCATTTGTATTCCAATTTTTTTATTAATTATTCATTTGTAACTGAAAGTTAACATAAAAACCCTGATAATGATGATAACAATAATAATTAACAAACTTAATTTGTTTTACTGTTATTGTTGAAAAAATTGTTTTGAACAAATACATTGTTTATGAGTAAATCTAAAAATTTTTTTCCCTAATATACTTAATGATGAAAATTATGATTTTTAGAGAAAAAACGGTTCCTAAAAAAATGTATTTGTTGCTAAAAAATGCGTTTATTTATTAACAATCATTGATTATGATGAGTTTCGTAAATAACATCTGTTTCGTTGAAACTTGCGTTTTCCACATTGTAATATTTGATTTTTCCGGTATCAATGCTATTATTGAAGCTGCAAGGTCAACGTCGGCCCTATTTACAACAATCTGGTGAAAACTGGAATTTGAAAATGATTCTAAACTCTGCGAGCATAGAAAATCTAAAAAAGGTAATTAAGGGGACTCATTAAATCGAAATTATATTTTAGTTGAAGTCTATGCAAATATAATTTTTAATGATACCTAAACTACTAAAAGTGCAAGACATGGAATATTCATAATTTAATGGTACATAACAATCGTTGTGCATTGAAAAGACTTGGATTTTTTTTATAAACAATAGTCAATAATTGAGCCCAATAATAGAGCTAGAACCTAAATAAAAAGCTGAAATTGTTAATGAATTGATAATAAACAGAAAACACTTGAAGCGTCATTGTCCTATCTGCAATAGTTTATCAGCGCCTTTTCGAACTCTTCCTCAAACTTTTTACATGACAATATGAATCGAATGACAACTTAATCGACTATATTAAAATTCTGACTCATTTTTGTTTGTCAGATATGATGTTGACAAATAAATCTGAAAAATATTTTCATTTACACGCTTTTATTAGTTTCACTTATATGTTTGTTTGTAATTGAAACCTTTGGGCTCGATTTTGACTGACTTCACACGGGCAGATATATTTTAAACTTCATACACTTATCAAGAATCGATGACAATATAATAATTTCATTAATTTATCTCAGTATCCTGATCAGGATCGCCAGGATTTAATAATTTCCTCACGCAGTCTCTCTGTGAGAGAAAGTGAGACAACCACACTGTCTGCGTATGCGTATATATTTTATATTAAAACAAATAAGCTTGAAATAAAAAACCAAACTGAAGAGTGAAAAATAAGTAATAGTTTTAAAAAAACACGCTTTAATAGCAATACAAACTAAAAAATTAAAAATAATTCGAAACGGTTGTGTTCAATATCGATAATGAGAGTCCTATGGCTTGATGTAACTAATGACTTTGAATAAGTCTGAAATCAGAATAAATCTTTTTAATAAAATAATAATTTTGTTGTAAAAAAGCGTGTGGTGCTAAATATCCATTGTTATGAATACTTGGTTAGGAGCTGTTTGCTAGATTGTAGCCATAATAGAAATATAACTAAAGCATCCCACGCTTTTTACAACAAAATAATTTTTTTGTAAACAGATTTATTCTGAATCCAGACTTAATGAAAGTCATTAGTTGTATAAATCCATAGGACTTATTATCGATGTTGAACACAATCTTAAATTAGTTTCAAATATTTTTTAGATTGTGTCGCTATTGAATCGTATTTTTTTAGTTTTTTTAACTATCACTCATTTTCAACTCGACATTTGAAAGAAATACTACTAATCAGAATCAATAACTTAAATCAGAAAGATAGTTGATCCGTCCTGATCACCATACCAAGAACAACCTTATATTTTGAAAATTAGCTAGTAATATATGAGCATCTCTCAGAAACAACACACGCAGTGCTATATTCAACTGAAAAGGTTATTCTAAAATGTCATTTTTATAATAATCACTAAATATTCAAGCCCAATATGAATAAAATATCACGTAGAATAAAATTATTTGAGAAAATATACCGATGTATCTGATAGTATATACAAACAAGTACCTACTGTAATAATACCAAGCCGCATAATATTTTATTTTATAAATAAATAAATTTAATTACAAATTTCATTTGGTTTTAAATGATATACCATAATTCCAAAATACCAGGCACTGAATTCTCAGAAATGACTGACGTTTTCGCCTTAATCTGTCTCTTGTAGTGGCGTATGAAAATTATACTAAACAGATGAGGAAAAATGATGATAAAATATATAGAATCACAGTCTTGACAACAATGTTTTCGTTTTAATGCAATAATATTTCTGATAATTTAGTGCCTATTATTATGCAATTGTAAGTACCAATTTTAGTAATGTAGTGGAAGCAGCCGATACTTGATGACAATCCATAACGTATTTAAACAACACTAATATGCAACACGTGTTTCACTATATGAGCTTCTTCAGGTGTGTCTACACTGTTGAGCAAAATATATAAAAAAATAATAATCGGGAGTCCAATCTATAGTTTTCTAATAATTTTCATCAACTGAAGTTACTTGGAACATATACTTTATAATCCAGAGAAAGTACTTTTCCAGTCCCCAGATATGCAAAGCTTGAAACACTGTTTCGAACCAGAAAACTGTACACACCTTAGCAACTTTTGATGCTTTATAAATCTCAGATCAGACCTTCTTTGGAGTATTGTTATCAGTATGGAGCTCCGCCCCCAAACATACCCTGTAGTTGCTGGATTCCATCCAGAAAAGAGTCATCCGCCTGATTGGAGACGCGAACATTACGTGCAACCTTGATAGCCTGGAACGTCGAAGAAACTTTGGAGATTTGTCTCTCTTCTATAGATACTTTCATGGGAGGTGTTCAAGTGACTTGGTATATTTGATTCCACCAAGAGCGGTACATATCAGAAATACGCGACAAACTGTGGCTGCTCATATTGTTTTGAGGTTCAACTCAGTACACCTTGAACTTCACTATTTAACAACTCTTTCATCTGGAGAACTGCGTTTATGTGGAATAAACTTTCTGAGAACGTTTTTCCAAATGGATTCAATCTCCAGCGATTCAAATCCAATGTGAATCGCTACTTTCGCACAGACACCTTTTTGAGAGCGCCTTAAGGATTTTTCTGTAGCGCTTGTTTGGTTCATAAAAAAAATACCCTTCCGACGCGCGTTTCATCAATCAAATTGGCGTCTTCAGTTTTTTTCATCTTTTTGAAGACGGCAACTTTGTTGGTAAATGCGCG